AGCTCATAATGCTTTGCACAATTTATCAAGAACTGTTACTTGCTTTTTCTTCTCCTGGCATTGCTGACTGTGTAGATAGATGTTTAGTCCTAGGTAATTCTATAATGAGGTATTACATCACCAGACTACATAAATAGATACCATATAACTATATACAAGTAAAAATAGATTAAGTAAATTTCCTTTTGTTAAAAAAGCACAGAGAAATTGCTTACCTGATATACTGAAGTCTATTTGGGGATACTTCCAACAGATTTCCAATTGAAATTTGCACTAAACAATTTGCTTTCATCTTTCCAGGAACCTCCGATACAGGATAATGGGCAGATGTGTTGTGCTGGATGTAAGGTTTGTATCTTAAAGTTTACAGAAACAAGGAAGCAACTTTTGTAGAGTAAACTGGACTCATAGAAATGAAGGATTCCTTCAATTAAAGATTTTCTACTGGTCTGAAGCAGAAGACTCACATCACCGCATTTAACACCACAAAGCCTGTAATAAATACCTTTGTGTATTGACAAGTCCTTTTGCTAAATAGCAGTCTCACAAGAATAATCTGAAATGCTTCATAATATATTACATACACTAAGCTGCTTCCAAATCAAAAGAATAAAAGCAAAAACCCTGATTTAAAGTTAGAAAAGCAACTCAAGTAATGCATTTTAGACTAACTCTTTAGGATAGAAACTAAGGCTTTTTAGAAGGTCTCCACCTTCTTTAATATGATTTTGTTTTTTTCTTTTTTGCCACGCAGCTTGAGGGATCTTAGTTCCCTGACCAGGGATTGAAGCCGGTACTAATCACTGGACACCCAGGGAATTCCCTAATATCCCATTTTTGAATGAGTGATGCTTTTCATCCTTGCTACCTTTACACTGGATGGAATCACAAAACAGACTCTTTGGTGAAATTATATTTGAATTATATTTGGTGAAATTATATTCTTTGGTGAAATTGTCTTTTCTTTACAGGAGCAATTCTCAGTTCCCAGATTCTTGCCATGTGATATGTTTGTGCTTGCCATGTCATGTCATTAGTTCTACTGCACCATCTGATTTTGACTCAATCTAAGTAATTTTTTCTACCAGCTACTGTCACAGACTTGTTCCTCTGCATGGTTGCATCTTCTTTACCAGTGATGTATTCTAGCTACTTACCTTAGCTTTAGGTTATGGTTACTAATACAGCCAAGGAATTGTTCTATTTCAACAGTATAACAAATGAATGGACTTCTGTAATATCTCATCCCTCTTTGGGGGAGTGAAGAGCTCATCTAAAGAAGAATTGGTAGGTGGTCGGAGCTAGTAACCTGAACAGGGAGTGGTCAAACACCTCAGCATGGCTAGTTAGTTCTTAGGCCAATGGGAATGGAGACAGGAAGTCCTTGGTGGCCTTGGGTAGCTACTCCTAATCTTTTACTTCAGAATATGGTGAAACTGACATACAAAGGAAGGCATATTAAAAGTTTTTTCCCCACAGATGGATTTGTGTTCATCCTATCAAGGTTTTTTGTTTATTTTTCTTGTGTTTGATGAGACAGGGTTAACTGTTGAGGCTATATCTGGCCCAGGACCAGTTTTGTGAAGTTACTTGGCCCACACAAAGATGAAAATAGAAAGTCTCGCCTCATAAATTGCTACCGCTCTTAAGCAGGTCTGCCTATGTCTGAAAGCTAAAGGTCCCATCACCGTCTTTTCAGAAAACAACAAAGGTTCAGTGTAAATTAACATTTTCAAATTGCTTCAAGATTCACAGATGAGATGTTGAGCTGTGGACCTAGTTCTTCCACTTCTCTGCATGGAGTGGGGTCAGGGCAGATAATTGAATTAGGAACACGAACGTCTTCAAATCTACCTGGTGGCCACCACACTAGGGGCTGATATTTAACTCCTAGCAAGGTTGAGGGTAAAAAAGTACCCTTTCCCAGACCTACAAATTTAGGGATGTGTGTGAAAAAGAAAAAGTTTGAGTAGACATTTAGCATGCTAGCTGAACTGGATTCCTTAAGAAGCAGAGAATTGTACCAGACAAAACTAATCCAGGGGAGGATGTGAAAGGGGCTATGGTTTGGAGTTGTGTGCCTATTGGTCAGATTGACATAGCCTCACTTTTCAGTATTCACTTGCACCTATAACACTATTTGGGGTGGGAAGACACAAAAGCATTAGAAGAATTTTATGTTTTTGTTTTGTTTTGTCCTGAAAGATCTCCTGAAATGGCTGATCGAACAGTCCTGCTCACTCTGCTTGCATGCAGAAGGAGGTCAGGCCAAAGGATTGATCAAACTTAAGTTAGTGTGTATCTCTTGGGTTTAGTACTTAACCTCAATTCCTAGCTGAGTCAAGTATAACTGATGGTCATGGAAATATGCAGAAATAACGAAAGCAATGAACATTTACTGTTTCCCTTATACACTTAGTGCTATATGCTTTACTTTTTTTAACTTTTAATTTAAATTTTTTTTTTTGCGGTATGCGGGCCTCTCACTGTCGTGGCCTTCCCCGCCGCGGAGCACAGGCTCCAGATGCGCAGCCCCAGCGGCCATGGCTCACAGGCCCAGCCGCTCCGCGGCATGTGGGATCCTCCCGGACCGGCGCACGAACCCGCAACCCCTACATCGGCAGGCGGACCCTCAACCACTGCGCCACCAGGGAAGCCCTAATTTTTAATTTTTAAATTTTATTTATTTTTGGCTGCATTGGGTCTTTGTTGCTGCCTGTGAGCTTTTTCTAGTTGAGGCGAGCGAGGGGTGGGGGGGACTACTCTTCGTTGTGGTACACGGGCTTCTCATAGTGGTGGCTTCTCTTGTTGTGCAGCACGAGCTCTAGGGTGCTAGGGCTTCAGTAGTTGTGGCGTGTGGACTCAGTAGTTGTGGCTCACAGGCTCTGGAGTGCAGGCTCAGTAGTTGTGGCGCACGGGTTTAGCTGCTCCGTGGCATGTGGGATCTTCCTAGGGATCGAACCCATGTCCCCTGCATCGGCAGGCAGATTCTTAACCACTGTATCACCAGGGAAGTCCGCTATGTTTTAAATAGATTATTTTATTTAATTCTTACAATGACCTTATAAAGTAAGAAGTTTTATTATGGATCTGAACAAAATCACCACTAACATTTGAGAAATAACTCAATCATGTATGCCCTCCTCATGGTGGGTCAATAATGCCAGGAGGTTATGGAAGGGTGAGTTCATGCTAAGCCTTACTAGATACAGCCCTTTCCTGGAACACGTCAGTAGGCTACCAAGACATTTCTCCTACTTCACTACTGCTCCCTTTTCTGTCTCCTTTGCTGAATCCTCCTTATCTTACTGTTTTAGTGTTGGAGTGCCCCAGGGCTCACTTCTTGGTCTCTTCTTTACTCTAGTTACATTATCTAGTTGATCTCAACCAGTCCTTAAATACCACCTGTATGCTGCCAACCCACACATTTATGTCCACCCCAGATACCTAATTGTCTACACCTATCTTCACATGGATGTTTAACAGACACCTCAGACGTAACCACGTCTAAATCAGAGCTGGCAAATATGCTTCTTGCCCCACCAAATCTGTTTCTTCTCTATTTCCTCAATCTCAGTAAATGTCAACTCCACTCTCCCAAGAGCACAGACCAAAACCCTTGGGATCATCTTTCACTCTAGTCTTTCTCTTATATCTAATCTATCAGCAACTCTCGTCTGCTATATCTTCTCTCCATCACTCTGATCATCCCAGCCAGGTAACTCCTTGTTTGCTTTCTTGCTTCCCTACATCTATGGCTCATATAGCAACATAAAAATCAGTTTTTATTATGAACCTTTTAAAACATACACATAAATATACATAAATGACTACCCCCATGCACTCATCACTCAGCATCAAAAATTAACATTTTGCCCATCTTCTTTCTTCTGTTCCCTACCCTCCCTTTTTTTGAGGAGGATTTTAAAACAAATCCCAGCAAAGTCATCCTTTTAATGATCAGATCACGTTGCTCACAACTTTTCATTGTTCCTCTTCTCAGTAAAAGCCAAAACCTTTTTGATGGCCTACCACACCTGTGTGATCTGTTACTATTCCCCGACACCAACTCCTCCAACTGTCCCCTGTCCTGACTCTGCTTCAGTTACCGCAGAGGTTCTTAACCCTTAGAGCGCACCAGCATCCTCTGGACGTCTTGTCACAGCACAGGCTGCTGGGCCTCACCCCCAGAACTTCTGATTGAGATCTGAAGTGGGCCTCGAGAATTTGCATTTCTAACAAGTTCCCAGATGCTACCGCAGCCCAGCGGCATACTTGGGGAACCATCAGCCACACTGTACTCTTCCCGCTCTTCGATGGCCAGGAGTCTCTGCACTGCTCTTCCCTCTGCCCTGAGAACTCTGATTTACTCAAGATTCGCTTTCTTCCATCTCTTTTAAATGACATGTTTTGAGAGGCCTTCCTTGACTACCATTTAGCATCCTGTCTCCTCGCCTTGATTATTTGGTATTTTCACGGCAGGCAGGCATCGTCGTTTTTCTGTTTCCCTTGTCACGTCCTGATGGACAGGTGCGCGGGCACGGAGACCTGGTTTTGCTCTGCATTCCATCCCAGCGCCGAGACCTCGCCCAGCAGGTGCAACGAGCGGATCACAGCCTGAGCGGGGAGGCTCCAGTTCCTGCTTGGGACCCTGGACAGGCGAGTCATTCCTTCTTGCCTCAGTTTCACCATCCGTAGAGGAAGGATCGGCTACGCCCACCGCTCCCGCCTCCGTGGCCGCAGGCTGGGAAAGGACAGAGCGAGCGCGCCTGTGGAGCGGGACAGTCAGGGAACGCGGAGCTGAGGGACGCCGTGCTTTCCGGCGAGACCGCACCCTTACGTCTCCAGCTCCAGCGTCTGGGCCGGCGGACCCACCCCGTACTTCGCGGTTGCAGGAAGGGGCGGTGCGGGGCGGGGTCTCGAGGGCCCGTCACACCCGGAAGTGCCCGCCTGCAGCCCCGCCCCCAGCAGCGCCGGCAGGCTGAGCGAGCCAGCCGAGCGGGGCTGGCGGAGCTGGGCTACCTCGGGGTTGGGTGCGGGTGCGGCGCGGGTGTAGCGCGGGTGCGGGCGGCGGGCGGGCGCCCGGGCGGATGGGACGCGGCGCGGCGGGCGGGCTGGGCAGGCGTCCGCAGCTGGAATGGTGCTGGCGGCGGCGGGTGCCCGCGAGCTGAAGCCTGAGAGGAGCCGCCATGGAGATGCCGCCGCGGCCTCCCGCGTGAGTGAGCTGACGGGCGGCGGGCGGGGCCGCTGCGGCCGGGCAGGGCCGGCGGCGGGCCGGGCGGCGGGCGGAACCCAGCCTGGCTGGCGGGCGGGGCGTCACCGCGCGGTGTGCGGGGAGGGTCCTCCGCCGGTGAGCGGGAGTCTCGGGAGGGCCGAGCATCCGCGGGATGGAGACACAGGATGCGCGCGAGGCCGTCGGAAAAGGAAGCTGCAAAGTACAGACGCCGGTGCCGAGAGGAATTCCACTCAGCTTGCCTGCTTCTCCGAATTCTTAGCAAAATTCTGTCCGAGGAGCTTGCACATCACTCGGAACGAGCCGAGCCGCGGCTGAACAGGGCATGTGACCTCTTTTACCTGGCACTGCAGAAAATCATATCCAGAAATCACAGCATCTTCTGTTTCTTTGGCACCCTGGGCGAATTAGTTAGTGTACGACCTATCAGGCACAGGTGTCTTTTTCCTTAGTACCCAAGTACAGTCAAGACCACCTGCGACAAAATTGTTTCCAGAAATAAGCTGAACAATTATGTGGGAGACATTGAAGATATTGCATTATTCAATACAAGATTTTTTTTTTTTAGCATTTTGTTAAAAGTGGACTATAAATCCCCAGGAATTTTCAACATTTCAATTTTGATTTGCTTTCTTTAGTTTAACCTTTATGAAGTAACAAGAGCCCTTTGAATCTGACTTTTCAAACCGCCAAAAAATCTCATTCTAAGAACCGTGTACCTTTTCATGACAGCTCATTCTTGGAGCTTTATTGTTTTTCACTTAGATTTGGCCAGCTTCACTCCAGGGCAGTTGTATCACACCAGCCTCTTGTGGCTATTTGGCAGAATACCAGCCAAAATATAAATATTTGGCTTGGGCTGAAAATTTTTTTGATGTTGAGTCTTTTTAGGAGTGCTCATAGGATTCTGGCACTTTTAAAAAGTGCCTTACAGAAATTTTAGCTTGAGTGGAACAGGTCATGGAAATTTAAGGAGTACCTACGACTGTTGAATTGACCCTCCTGGGCTGGTAGGAATAAGAGCTCAGTTGCTTGGTGATGGCTGTCGCTTTGAAGACTTTGTCATCTGGTCATGTTCTTCAGCAGGTTCGGGAAGGCTCCTGAACCTCTAGGAAACGTGATGGTGGATTGTTAGCATCATGTGTGAGCACAGCATCAGCACACGAGTTCTGCCCAGGCTCAGAGGCACGCAAGGCAGGAAATGCTACTTGTCTATAGACAACACATAGTATAGAGGGTATCCCACATAGGATGATATTTGTCGTAAACCTGCCCCCTTTATATCAGTTCGCTGCAGTCCCTGTTTTGCTTCTGGAGCAGAGGGAACTAAAGGAAAGAAAAGGGGGACCTTAGAATGCAGGTGAGAAAAGGGTGTGGAAAAGCAGGCTCTGGAGGGAGGGAGGAGAGATATTAAAAATCATTTAAATAGAGATAATTAAAATGAAATAAATGTGTGCATGCAAATATTGATAAACTGAATCTAAGACATCAACTAATCAGAATTTTGGTGTTCAGCACAGTTCTTTGCTATTGAGACTTCATCAGTAGTGCTGGAACAATGAGAGGCTGAGATGTAATGGAAAGCCTGAATGCCAACAGGGATGAAAGAATAGTTAAAACCAAAACCCAAAAAACTCTGTTCAGCCATGGGTGGCTGAACTTGGTGAGACTTTTGTTTCTGTTCATTTAATGGTAAATACAAATAGGTTTTGTTTTCATTTGGTCTATCTAGGAGTAGCCCCAATTCCAGAACTATAGTGTTTTTTTACCTTTCTGTGCATCAGAATAGTTTTTCTTCCCACCCCTTGACCTATTTGCCTCTACTCCCAATAATTTTTTTTCCTTCCACACTGAATCATGGGTGCTGGATTTGAGAAATGGCAGTTCTTGGGGAAGGAGCTTTGTCAGGCCTCGCTGTGCTAAAGCTTAGCTAGGTCAGAGGCCAGTGCAAGTTATTGGGCGGGCTCAGCTTTTCATAAGGTTAGATTTTTAGCTTGAGCTTAAAGGCAAAGAAAGTTGTTTGAGGTGGGCTTAAAGTGCCTTGGATGATGTGGTGGAAGCAGGGACTCAGATCCTCTTTGCATAAATGTCTGTTTATTAATTCATTTCTTCTGCAAATGTTTGCATGCTAGTTTCTCCCTGGCACTGAGTGTGATACTTTTGCTTGCCCTTCTCTTTTAACAGGCAGTTTTGCATCCTTTTCAAATCCCACCTTGCTCCCTTTCAGCCTGTTAGACATTGTCTTGGAGGGATGCAGGTGACTATTAGTCCAGGCTCCCTAGTTCCTTCAGATGGGCTTGTTGAGATTAGGTTTTTAAAATTTCTTCTGCTCTTTCTACTTCTTGCCTTCACGTTCTTCTCATCCTTTTTGATTCTCATGTTGATTGTCATGGGCTTTATATCTCTCTTATTTTTTGCATCCTTGAGTGTATGTGGCTTTTAGATTCTCCTGCATTTTTGGATCTGGGTGATATTAAGACCATGGGACATTTGCCTGACTGAACCTGAAAAGTGTTCAACTAAAATTATATGTAGGTTAGCAAAGGAGTTGTCTCAGACAATAAACTGAGATGTGTGAAAGGAATTGTAAACTGATCAGCCCTGACCTCAGGAATGTTTTATACATTCTAGCTTTTATAGTTATTTTTGTAAAGGATTTTCATAATTACTAAGTTGAAGGAAGACTGTGAGTATAGGACAGAGTGCATCCCTTTGACCTCACTGAAAAGTTTTCTTGGCCTTCATTTTCCTACTGGCCCTCTTTCACAAGTTGGCTTTCTCCCTGTAGGCCTTGCTTTCTTGCTTTTCCAAACATGCCTCAGATATACAGCCATGTCTTTTTTCAGTGCATTCCACATCACTGGAAGCTCTTGAGCGTTAGAGATGTTCAGCATAGGCAGACAAACATCTTGTTGACTGTATTCTGAGGGATTTAGGCAGCAGAAAATTAGTTGGATTAGAGCACAGATTCTCATATTTTTGGATTTCACTGACTGTAAAATTAAAAAAAAACTGAAGTCCAACATAGAATTGCTAAGTTTTTTGTTTAGCCAAGTTAAAAAAAAAAAGATAAAATTATCAACTATCATCATCTTTTTGTAAAAGAAAGGACATTTTAGTGCCCCTCCCCCAATACAGGGAAGTACATAATCTCAGGCCAAAGGATAGTTCTTAAATTGAGTACTTTTAGTTTTATGAAAACGTACACATTGTCCTCATTTTGTCACAGATCAATAAAAAGTTCATTGAAACCTGATGTTTGCGATCCACTGGACCAGATGACCTTTAATGTTCATTCTAATTCTAAGATTTAATTACTATGAATTTGGAACCTTGGCATGGGTTACCCCAGTATTCATTTGTTTGCCTTTTATAACCCTTTGGAATGTATTCTTGTTTTTGTTTAACTAGTCCTAAGTATAAATTGGGCACCTCTCTGATCATAGGTGAATCTCCTTAATGATAGACAAAGACGTTTAAAATATTCAGGAACGATAATGGCCCACATGGTGATGTTGAAAGAAGACGTGTGCATCAACATGTGTTGAAGTGTCATATATAAGGAAAATTTTGAGGTGCATTTGGGAACTTGAGAAGTGGATTCTGAAAATAGGTAGCATTTATGTAGTAGTCTCTGATTCTGGGAAATCACTCCTCCCCCTCCCACCAAATAGTCCTAAACCTCTTGTTTCTAATTTACATTTTCTTATGCACATAGTAGGCATCAGTAAATATTAGTAAGTGTGCTTTTGTGAAGGTGATTGTACATCTACTCAGCTGTGGTTGTTACGGAACTGCACAAAGAGTGTTTATGAAAGCAAGTGAAATTCTTTCTTAAGATCAGGCGGAAAGTTCTTTCAAGGTGATACAGAGAATGGAAATTGCCTTTCAGATGCTTTTCTATAGAATTCTACCAAATTCCAGATGTATTTACTGTTTACAATGAGAGAGTTCAGGTTTTTTATTCATATTTATTGGGTGCCTTTGGTGACCAGGCTTTGGGAATATCTCAGAAAACAAAACGAAGTCCCTTTTCCTCATGGTTGAAACTGACAGTAAACAAATACATGATACAGTTACTGTAGTGGGTGTGTCTGTGTACTTTGTGTTGTGTACTTTTCTGTCTCGAATTTCAGGCTATGGGCATTTGCTAAAGTATTTTTCGACTAGTTCTTTTCACTGATCCTGCCTTGAAAAACAGGCCCTTGCTTGCCATGACACTACTTTTTCTTGGTTTCCTGCTCTAGTTTTTAGGTTGTTAAAGGTGATTTACTTTATTTATTTGATTACTTTATCTCATTTAATCTTGTCAACAACCTACCTTATGAAGTGTAGGTCTCTTATTATTATTAGCTTTCAGAGGTTAAGTTACATTCCCAAGCTTATCAAGTAGAGGAGAAACTGGGACTCTAATCTCTCTCTGTTGATTGCTTTTTTGGCTTACATGGCTTCTGTTCGTTGGCAGTAGCTGTTTCTCCCAGCTGCAGGCCTTGGCCAATTCTTCTTTTCAGTCGGCTATTAATCACTAAGTTGTGGCTTCATCTGTATCTTAAGCCTGGGCTCTAGATCTGTGCCTCAGTTTTGAATTTTGAGCTTCTTACGGAACATCTACCCTTAGCTCATACATCAGATTCAACATGTCTAAAACTGAGTTTTCATAATCTTTGTTCTCAAACTGACTTCCCTTTATAACATCTCCACTTAGTGGAATAATCATTCTTCTGGTCCTGGATATACAAAGCCTTGTAATGTTCTTTGATTTCTCTTTCTTTCGTCATCCTCCACATTTTATCAGCTCCCAGGAACTGTACAGTGTTGGTTTCAAGTGTCCATTCTGATTGCTGATACTCTGATGATACTCAAGGTTTCATCCCTTGATACCTGGATTATTTCTCCTGTTGAACTCTTAGGTGTTCTCTCATCACCTTTCAGTCCACCTATTGTTTTTACCCCCCACCCCTCACCCCTGCAACATCGAATCAAGTCAAACACTTAACAAAACCATATATCTCAGCCAGGAAGTCTCAGCCCTCCATCATTTTGGCCTTATCTTATATGTTCAAAATCATTATGTGCCTTAACCTCCCAAGGTAAACTATACCTTATCACAAGCCAGGAGTCTCCAGCCTTTTCCTGTCCTGTCCTCAGCTAAAACAACTTAGAATTCCTCCAAGGCCCAGTTGGAGCCCCATCCCCTTCACAAAGTCTTCCTTGTATACATCAACTCATTCTAGCTCCTCTTTGCAATTCCTATACTATTTATAATTGGTAGCACATAATCTTGCACTTGTGTACGGACTTCGTGCCATTCCCTGGTGGTTCCTGAAGTGCCTCCTCAGTTGGCTGGTAACTGGAGAAGGTTTCTGTGTTCAGCATCCTAATCCCTCACCCTGCTTAGTATAGGGCAGCAATGGGCTAGGCAGTGCTTACCTACTTGATTTATTAACAGTGGTGGTGGTCTGGAGTATTGCCAATAACTTTTAATTTAGTGTTGCAATTAAAAATGAAGAAGGCCAAGAAAATCCATAAAAATGTATCTCCATGTTCAGTTTAGCTCCTAACTCCAACATTTTTCTTCTTAACTGTGTTTACATTCACATAGTATTTAGTGCTTATACAGCTCCTGAGGCAAGTAGGTGAGGTGTCACTATCTTTGACTTTCATATTACATTTCCTATTAGACAGATCTGTGGAATAACAAAAACCTTATTTTATACGTACACAGTCTGAAGCCCAGAGAGGCTAAGGGACTAATCCAAGGTCACTTGGTTAGTATCTGCAGGCTAGGACTGCAGTTCATTTCTTCCAGCTGATTTTGCTCCTCTTCCAGTGCCTTTTCATTAAATGCTGGGAAATGTAGCCCAGTCAACTGAATATGCCAAGTCATAGTGCTGCCCCCTTACCAGCCAAGTGATGGTAATAGGAAAAGTGACAAAAGAAAGTTCAGAAATGAGAGTGATAAAAGACATGGAAATGTTTGAAATGGATCATCAACCTTCTCCTCCCTATTTTAGCACCTCACAGATATCCCACTCTGACAATGCTGTGTTAATTGTTTATAACATATGCTTTAAAATAAGACTGATCTTGCATAAGACATGCTTTTACCCTGGTCGCTTTCCTGGTAGTAATCACTATCAGGGACAAAAAGTGCCAGGTTGTCCTCTGTTTGTCACGTAGGTTAGAGGGAGCGGGGTTGAACTGAAGCAGAGCATTTTACAGCTCTGTTGTTCTAGCATCAGAGAGCTTCGTCACCTCTGCACTTCAGAGTCCCAGCTACCTCCTCCTGCCGGTGTTTCTCTCGAAGGCCACATCCTGGTCCTGGGGGAGGACAGGGCGAAGGCCCCCCTCCATCCTCCGGAAGGTTCAGCACTCCGCTTTAAGTGCTAAGCTGTTTTAGTAAAATTGAGCATGGCCAGCTTTTCTAGACTTTTCCTTTCCAGCTCTGGGAAATTGGAAACATAACTTTTAGCAATACATGTACTATACTAATGTATTCAGTGGCATTGTTATGATGTTGTCTGTATGGTGTTCTGTGACTGGATAGGAGTTTTTTTATCTCACAAGATGCTTCATACTCAGTTCTAAAGGTCTGTGTACTGAAGGTCTAATTCAAGTTCTTACATGTCTGTAGGGCAGACATTAACATTATTTGGTAATATGACCATATGTTCATTGATTACAGTTAGTCTGCTGGGTCTGTACCTGATAAAAGTGTAAATTCCAAGCAGTTGAAAAAAATTTGCAGAGCAGGTCTTTTTGCATGTAGCTAATTGCAAAGACTGAAAGCACAATTCTACCACAAACCAAAATGTTTCCAGTGGAGAAAGCCTCCCACTTTTACAACCTCTAAGTAATAAGGTGGTTATTTGGGTGAGGTGAAGGATGTGAGTGTATTTTGTTAGGAAACTGTAGAGTGGCACAACAAGTATTAAAGTATGAGTTATGGTTGAATCTCTACTTCTTATATCCTGGACTTGTTATGGGAGCAATGTTCTTATGATAATCAGCTTCCAAATGCAAGTTTAGCTCGGAAGACAGCAGAGAAAATAGAAGAGATATAAAGTAATGGAGAACTTCATAGCAGTATAACATGGATGGTGACTTTGAAAACATCAGCTGCTGACGTGAACTTGGCAGAAATTTATAAGTAATGGTGGGTGACTCATTGCAAGCAGGGGAGTCTTGCAGCTTTTGAGGTGTACAGGCAAAGGGGAGAGTAGAGATGCTGGCCACCCAGAGGCTGAGTATTTGTCCTGAGTGTGAAAATGTCTGGTCCCCTGTTAAATTTTTCAGCTGCATCATTCACATGACTTACAGCATTATTTCCACCAGAAAACCTTGAAAACATAAACAACCTCTATTTCCTAAAGTGTTCGTTCTCTATCTGAGATGATTGTCCTGTGGTGGGACGTAAGTGGGTGGTGGGGCATATTACATCACCTTCTTTTTTAAAAAATCATACATAGCTGTCTTTTCCCCCTACTCCTCGAGATGCTGTCATTCTGGTATGCCTAGACCTGTAAAAAGGGCTTGCCTGAATCTTCACATGAAGAGGGATGGTTATGGGTAGTTTAGAAAAATTGCTTGGGTCATGTGGTCCTTCTGTCCCCTCCATTGGAAATCACTATTCCAGAGCAAATAATATGCATCTAAAGAAACTGTATGTTATTTCTAAGATGTTCCCAAAATTTTTGCAGGAGGTTTAAACCTTTGGTTGGTTATGGAATCTTGACTGTTGGAAGGAGACAGCCCTTATTAGAGTCTTTGCCTTCTCTCTTGAGAATTCAGTTATTGGCAGTAGTGTGTTCTTAGGCAGAGTTAGAAAGTTACCCGGTCTGAGAAGCCAACCTTACCTACAGCTGGGAATTTGTAGAAGAGTCAGTCGTGGAAGGAAGGCTTTTGGATTATCTGTTAGCAGTGTTCTGGGATCCAAACCCTTGAACCCTCAATTATTGTAGAATATGTGTTGTAAGAACAGGCTGTTGGGTAGTTTTAACACTGGTTATGGGATGTAAGTTGGGGGAAAGACTTAAAAGTGAAAGAACCTTGAAAAAGTATCTCCTCCAGATAGTTTAAAGAAGACGGTTCTCATAGGAGCTTTTCTGGAAAAGGCTAGCCCTTCGCTTCACAAGGGAAGCAGGGAGGGGTAACTGTACTTATGGTGTAACTTAAAAGGTAAACCTTTCCCTCCCACTTGGTTGCTTTCTAGTGGATGTTCATCTTCCACATCTGTAATTTTGGACATGATGTATCATTTTCTGTTACTTAGTTCTGCTTCTGAAGGAGAGACCATCTGACACAAAACCATATAGGAATTAGAAAATTGTGGAAAGGACTTCAGTGTTGAAAATGAAGTCTGTGGCAGGGTGCTGCATTTGTAAGGGGCTCTCAGTACAGAGAACACTTAAAAGAATGCGGTGTTATTTCTTATTTATTTCTTTAAGCCTTCGAATGGAATCTTTTCTTTGCAGAGTTTCTGGAGTATTAGAGAAGTGGGAGCTGAAAATATTTAGCTTTAAGAAAGAAAGCAGCAATATAAACATTGGTTGTTGTATGGTATCTGTCTTAAAGTTAATTCTTTAATGCAGGAAGTTTTAATTCCCAATTTCTTAAGCAAATACGAACACTCTTGACTCTTAATGATATTCTTTGTAGGGCAGAGTTGCTTTCGTTTCCATTCTGAGCATTGAAAGGCCTTCTATGATAGTTTTGCCAGTCCTCGATACTATATTTTCCCTCTGTTATAAACTTAAGTAATTAAATTTGAAGCAGATATAAATATCATTAACTTGCTACATATGTGGATATTCGGTGTTACGTGGTGAGAAAGTTTGTGTAGGTTGCATATATCTACATAATTTCCCCTTTTCCTACTGTTTTCTTAATGAAAAGGTGGTGGAAATGGCATTATGAGAATATGTCTTATACTAAAAAGTGTGTCCACACTTCCCTCTGCCAGATCTGGATGTTCTTTCTTTCTTGGCTTCTAGCTCTTTTTCTAAGGCTGGGTGTAACATCCCTCTATGCATGTGCACGTGTGCACGCGGCCACAAGGAGTAGAGTGCACTGTCCCATTCTCCCACTGCAGCCGTGGACTCACCCACTGGAGGCAGCAATGGCACTAATTCGTTTGTAAGGTCCCTTTAGAAACTCAGTTGGTGGGGTAGCAGCTCTGATGTCCGCTTCTAGTGGGTGAGCCCTCAAAGGATCAGGTATCCCTCAATAAGTGTTGATTCTGGGGGAGGGGGAACGAGCAAGGATAACTTCTGTGGTTAATGCTGGCTTATCTTAATGTTCAAGTACCCGAGTTTCATGGCTTCATGTACTACATTTCTGTCTCCAGCTAGATTTTTTTCTCTCAAATTCTAGACTCCTGTAATCATCTGCCAATTTGAGAACATCTTCACTTGGAAGCCTGATATCTTAAAACCAACACGTGTAAAAACTGAGCCCTTGATCTTCCAACTTCCAGACTGGTTCTATCTGCAGCCTCCTCCATTCAGTTAATGGCAAGTCAATGCTTCTAGCTACTCAGGCTAAAAAACTTGGAGTTATTCAGACTTCACTGACATGGCACGTGCCTTCTGTCAACAGATCTTATTAGCACTCCTTTAAAATATATCCAGAACTCAGACACTTCTCATCACTGCTCCTGCCTCCACTGCTGCTACGCTGTTCTGAGCCACTGTCATCTCCTCCTGCATTACCCTTCTCAGTAGCTTCCCTCTTTTCATCTTTGACCCATAGAGACTATTCTCAACCAGCAGCCAAAATGATCCTTTGAAAACATAAGTTGGGTTGTGTCACTGTTCTGCAGTACCTTGCCATTTCACTCAGGGTAAAAGCTAGTGTACCCAAATTGTTTTCTGCCTCAATCTCTTTATCTGTTATATGAGGATAATAGTAATTAGCTCACTCAGGGTAAAAGCTAGTGTCCTACATGATCTGTACTCCCCCCTCCGGCCCTGCTCTCATGTCCTGGAACACACGAGGTGCATACTGGCCTTTGCTCTAGTTATTCCTTCTGTCTGGGCCTTCTCCCCCTCCTGGTCCTCATTCTAATCTCAGTTCTCAATTTGGCCTGCCCTGATCACCCTGTTTAATACTGCAAGTTCCATCAGTCCATCACCATCACCCCCATACTCCTCACTCTCTTTACCCGGCCCTCTTTCTTCGTTCCGTAGTTCTTAACTTCTAACGTGCCACTTACTCTACTGGTCTGTTGTGTGTTTTGTCGATGCCCCCCACCCCCGCCCACCCCCCAACTCCAAGCTCCCTGAGGACAGGGATTTTTATTTTTATTGATATACTCCTTGTGCCTAGAATAGTGCTTGGTACATAGTTGGCACTCAAAAATTATTTGCTGAATTAATAATATTTAAAGAATGAATTATTCTTTCAGAAATGGGTCAGGAAAGGAAGAGGTGTGAAAAGAAATGGTGCAATAAATAATGATGTTTGCCTTTTGTTCTTTGTGTGATGTATATACAAGTATGATTTTTTTAGGCTTTATTTGGTATCCTAATTTATTAAACTTTAATAGCTTTATTAAGGTATAATTTACATACCATAAAATTCACCCATTATAATTGTGATCGTAGTAAATTTCTAGAGTTGTGCAACCATCTCCTCAAAAAGTTCCTTTTGTCTGTCCATATGCAGTTAACCCTCCCCACAATGGCACCCTGATTTCATTTGTTAATTTTTTCGCTCCCAGATTTCGAAAGAATAATTTATACAGCAATACTAACATAGCTTTGTACTCTTAAAAATTACACATTTAAATATGATATTAACTATCCATTGCTTAATGTAGGAAATGGTATTGAACATTAGTGAAAAGAATGGCCTTGAGGGTCAGACTAGCTGCACTCTTATCAGCTCTACCATTTACCCAGATTGTTTTCTGCCTCAATCTCTTTATCTTTATATGGGGATAATAATAGTAATTAGCTCACAGAGTTGTTGTGAGGATTAAACAAACAATGAAAGAAAATTTAGTACAGTGTCTGCCTTAAAGTTAATACTCAGTAAACCGTTAAAGTAGGTCCAAAGTATATGGGGTGAATAACCTTGCAGGTAGAAAACAAAATTCAAATCAGATTCTAAGCTTCTGAAGTGTGTGTAAAATACGACCCAGTTCCTGTCTTGGTTTGTAAATAGGCCCACTGCAGAATGTAAAAGCAGGTTAATTTCCAACAGAGAAAATCATTTCTCAGCATTTCTTCTGAAGGTATCTGCTGAACCATGGTTACTGAATTTTCTGTGCCCACCTTTGAGAGAGCTTTGAAACCAGGGAGGTAATTATCTACTTTTTTGTTAAAACCACAGTGACCATCAAAAAGTGTTCTGAATCGTGTTTTAGTCTTGGGTTGAAAAATGCTGTGAGACTTCCTCTAAATGAGTGGGGGAGAAGGGCATTCATTGTATCTCTTGTAGCCTGATAAGTCTGAACTAAGCTATCTTTAATAAGATCTTTTTCTGTGTTTTGTTATTTTCTTTTATGTACAGATGCACAAAGCAGGGTCATCAGAAGCCTCTCGATTCAAAAGATGATAATACCGAAAAACACTGCCCGGTGACAGTGAATCCTTGGCATATGAAGAAAGCTTTTAAAGTCATGAATGAATTAAGAAGGTATTATTACATTAACATACCTTTATTTTTCACTATAAAGTGAATATATTCCCCACCCCTCATTTTTGCTTTGTTTGATACAGAGAACATTTAAAGCTTTTTCTGCAAGTTTTTTAAAGGAAGGAAGAAAGCAAAAAATTTATCAAAAGCGTGAATGGTATAAGGCTGCACTGTCCAATATGGTAGCCACTAGCCACATGTGGCTAGTCTGAATTGAGGTGCTCTGTAAGTGGAAAATACATAATGGATTTTCAAGACTAACTACCAAAAAAAAAGTAAAATATTTATTAATAAGTTTTAAAAATAATACATTTTGAAATGATATCAATTCTAATATTGGATATTTTGGGTTAAATAGAATTTTACTTAATTCTATTAAATTAATTTCACTTGTTTTTATTTTTAAATGGGATTACTAGAGAATTCTGACTTACATTATATTTCTATTGGACTGGCTGGTCTAGGGTTTCTAACTTATCATTGCAAAGCATATGAAAACTTTTATTAAAATTTTTTTTATTGAATAGTTAATTTATAACATCATATTAGTTCCAGGTGTACAACATAGAGACTCAACATTTTTATAGATTATACTCCACTTAAAGTCACCACAAAATAATGTGTATATATCCTTGTGGCCTATCCATTTTATACATGGTAGTTTGTACCTCTCAGTCAAATCCACTACCCCCATCCTGCCTCTCCCATTCTTCTCCCCACTGGTAACCGCCTGTGAGTCTGTTTCTGTTTTGCTATATTCACTAGTTTGTTTTCTTTTTTAGATTCCACATATGAGTTATAACATAGAATATTTTTCTTTCTCTGACTTATTTCATTTAGCATAATACCCTCTAGACCCATCCATGTTGTTGCCAATGGCAGAATCTCATTCTTTTTTATGGCTGAGTAGTATTCCATTGTGTGTATATACCACATCTTCTTTATTCATTCAACTGTTGATGGACACTTAGGTTGCTTCTACATCTTGGCTATTGTAAATAATGCTGCTCTGTACATTCAGATGCGTGTATCTTTTCGAATTAGTGTTTTCATTTTCTTCAGATGTATACCCAGGATTAGAATTGCTGGTAGTTCTATTTTCAGTTTTTTGAGAAACCTCCATAATGTTTTCTGTAGTGGCTGTACCAAGTTATATTCCCACCAACAGTGTAAGAGTGTTTCCTTTTCTCCACGTCTTTGTCAACATTTGTTATTTGTAGATTTTTTGATGATAGCCATTCTGACAGGTGTGAGGTGATATCTTATTGTGGTTTTGATTTGCTTTTCTATGAAAATTACAGATGTTGAGCATCTTTTCATGTGTCTGGCCATTTGTATGTCTTCTTTGGAAAATGTCTATTCAGGTCTTCTGCCCATTTTTTAATCAGATTATGTTTTTGATATTGAATTGTATGAACTGTTTGTGTATTTTGGATATTAACAGCTTATCAGGCGTATCATTTGCAAATATTTTCTCCCATTTAGTAGGTTGTCTTATCATTTTGTCAATGATTTCCTTTGCTGTGCAAAAGCTTTTAAGTATAATTAGATCCCATTTGTTTATTTTTGCTTTTGTTTGTTTTGCCTTAGGAGACAGACAAAAAAAATATTGCTATGATTTGTGTCAAAGAGTGTTCTGCCTATGTTTTTTATCTAGGTGCTTTATGGTTTCAGGTCTCTATTTAGGTCTTTAATCCATTTTGAGTTTATTGTTGTATATGGTTTGAGAAAATGTTCTACTTTCATTCTTAACATGTAGCTGTTCAGTTTTCCCAGCACCACTTGTTGAAGAGACTGTCTTTTCTCCATTGTATATTCCTGCCTCCTTTGTTGTACATTAATTGACCATAGATGGGCAATTCTTTATTCTGTTCCACTGATCTATGTTTCTGTTTTTGTGCCAATACCATGCTGCCTTGATTATGGTACTTTTTAGTCAGGGAGTGTGATACCTCCAGCTTTGTTCTTTTTTTCTCAAGACTGCTTTGGCTGTGCAGGGTCTTTTGTGGTTCCATATAAATTTTGGATTATTTGTTCTAGTTCTGTGAAAAATGTCATGAGTATTTTGATAGGGATTGCATTAAATTTATAGATTGCTTTGGGTAGTGTGGACATTTTAACAATATTAATTCTTCTAATCTATGTACATGGGCTATCTTTTCATTTCTTTGTATCATCTTCTTTTCCTTCATCAATATTTTATATTTTCAGAGTGTAGGTCTTTCACCTCCTTGGTTAAGTTTATTCTTAGGTATTTTATTTTTTTTGGTGGATTTTGAATGGGATTGTTTTCTTACTTTCTCTGATAGTTCATTATTAGTATATAAAAAAGCAACAGACTTCCATATATTAATTTTGTCTCCTGCAAATTTACTAAATTCATTTGTTAGTTTAATATTTTATTGGTGGAGACTGTTAGGGTTTTCTATATATAGTATCATGTCATCTGCAAGTAGTAACAGTTTTACTTCTTCCCTTCCAATTTAGATTCCTTTTATTTCTCTTTCTTTTCTGATTGCTGTGGCTAGGACTTCCAATACTATGTTAAATAGAAGTGGCGAGAGTGAGCATCCTTGTCTTGTTCCTGATTTTAGAAGAAAAGCTTTCAGCTTTAATCGTTGAGTATTATGTTGGCTAACGGTTTATCATAAATGGCCTTAATTATGTTGAGATATGTTTCCTCTGTACCCGCTTTGGTGAGAGTTTTTATCATGCATGGATGTTGAATTTTGTTGAATACTTTTTTTGCATCTATTGAGGTGATAATGTGATTTTTATCCTTCCTTTTGTTAATGTGGTATATCACATTGATTTATGGATGTTGGACCATCCTTGCATCCCTGAAATAAATTGCACTTGATCGTGGTATGTGATCCTATTTATATATTGTTGAATTCGGCTTGGTAATATTTTGTTGAGGATTTTTGCATCTGTATTCATCAGATATATTGGCCTGTAATTTTCTTTTTTTGTAATATCTTTTTCTGATTTTGGTATCAGGGTAATTAATGGTGGCCTTGTAGAATGAATTTGGGAGTGTTCAATCCTCTTTAATTTTTTGGAATAGTTTGAGAAAGATAGGTATTAGCTCTTCTTTATATGTTTGGTAGAACTACCCTGTGAAGCCATCCTGTCCTGGACTTTTGTTTGCTGAGAGGTTTTTTTTATTACAGATTTAATTTCATTACTAGTGATTGGTCTGTTCAAATTGTCTGATTTTTCTTGATTCAGTCTTGACAGTTTGTATGTTTCTGGAAATTTGTCCGTTTCTACTAGGTTGTCTAATTTGTTAGCATATAACTGTTCGTAGTATTCTCTTAGGATTTTTTTGTATCTCTGTGGTATAGGTTGTTATTTCTCCTCTTTCAGTTTTTATTTTATTTGAGTCCTCTCTTCTTGCTGGTGAGCCTGGCTGAAAGTTTTATCAATTTTGTTTATCTTTTAAAAAAGCTCTTGGTTTCATTGTTTTTTGTTTGCTTTTGTTTTGGTTTGTTTAGTCTCTGTTTTACTTATTTTCCCTTTGATCTTTATTATGTCCTCCCTTCTGATGACTTCGGGCTTTGTTAGTTCTTTTTTTTTAATTCCTTTAGATGTAGATTAGGTTGTTTGAGATTTTTCTTTTTTCTTGAGGAAGGCCTGTATCACTATAAACTTCCCTCTTAAAACTGCTTTTGCTACATTCCATAGATTTTGGAAAGTTGTGTTTTCATTTTCATTTGTCTTGAGGTATTTTCTGATTTTCTCTTTGATTTCTTTATTGACCCATTGGTTTTTTTAGTAGCATGTTTAGTCTCCATGTGTTTGTGCTTTTCGCATTCTTCTTTTTGTATTTGATTTCTTGTTTCACACTGTTGTGGTTGGAAAAAATGCTTGATATAATTTGTGTCCTCTCAAATTTGTTGAGACTTGTCTGTGGCTTAGCATGTGATCTATCCTGGAGAACATTCCATGTGTACTTGAAAAGAAAGTACATTCTGCTGTTTTGGATGGAATGTCTTGTCTTGTAGATATCTTTTAAGTCCAACTGGTCCAATGTGGTATTTAAGACACTGTTTCCTTATTGATTGTTGTCTGGATGATCTGTCCATTGATGTCAGTGGGGTGTTAATGTCCCCTCCTATTATTGTATTATTGTCAACATCTCCCTTTATGTCTGTTAATATTTGTTTTATATATTTAGGTGCTCCTGTATTAGGTGCATATATGTTAATGAGTGTTACATCCTCTTCTTGTATTGATCTCTTTATTTATAATGTCCTTCTTTGTCTTTTGTTATAGACTTTGTTTTAAAGTCTGCTTTGTCTGATATGAGTATTTCTACTCCTGCTTTCTTTTCATTTCCATTTGCATGAAATATAAGAAAACTTTTAGACAGAGAAAAATGTAAATCTCTCTTTGGTGGTGGTGGTGTTAGTGTTAGTAATTTGGGGGAGTAGTGACCTGCCCATTGCTAAGTAATTCTCAAATATGTTAAGAGTCACCGCAGTGAAAGAGTGACTTTAAAAGTTGATTAAAAAATGAGTAGCTTTTTTTTAATTAAAACTAATGTATGTATTAACAGGCTTGGTTTTATTCTCTTAGCATTTTGTGAAAGACATATATTTTCCCATCATTCCCTTTGTGAAAGTACATATATTTAAAAGCTTGGGCTAAGAAGGGAGTGACTTAAACTTTCCTTTAATCTCTCTATGCTATATCTTCCTGAAAGCTCATCCTTTTTTTTTGTTCCATCATTTGTTTGTTTCTTCTTTAATTAAAGATTCAGTAAATATTCATCTGCTGGGTGCTGGAGATACAATGGTAAGCAAAACAGACATGGCTGCTACCCTCATGGGGCTTATGATTGACTGCAGGAAGCAGGCATTAATCAAAGAATCACACAAATAATTTACTGTAAATTTTAATGGCAGTAACTGCTACAGGGAGGGCTATGAAGTTAGATAACAGTGGTCAGGGAAAGCTTCCCTGAGAAGATAAGAATAATTGTGCTGAGATCGAAA